GCACTGGTGAGAACGGAGTGTCCCCACGTGCTAGTAATTGTTGTTGTTGTTGTTGGTGGTGTTGTTGTTCATATTGTTGTTGTTGTTGTTATTGTTGTTCTTGTTCAGTAAGGCGTTGACACCGGCCCCGGCCTGTTGTTGAGATCTTATTCTTCTTCTTTCGAAACTCAAGCGCTTATCTTTAAGGGTAAGCAACGCTCCAGCAACCGAGGGCTTGCCTCACGGGGCCGGAGAAGGGGCTGGCACCTGGGGCGGCAGCGCAAGGTGCCCCACGGGGCCGGAGGAGGGGTCGGCATTCCTGGCGCGTTTCCAAAGATTTCCCCCGGATTTCCGCGAATCCCTCAAGACTCCTTTGGATTTCTGAGGGATCCTCCGGACTCGCTAGGACCCCCAAGGATTCCTTAGGACCCCCCAGGGTTCCTCGGGATTCCTCAGGAGCCATTCCGTGGGACTCCCGAGGATTCCTCAGGATCCTCTAGGATTCCTCAGGCTCCTTCTGGAGCCCCCCGGATTCCTCAGGATCCCCCAGGAATCCTTGGGATCCCAAATGATTATTCAGGATCTCCCCATGGGGCTCTCAGGATTCCGTTGGGCTCCTCAGGATTCTTCCGGATATCTTCGAATTCTTCAGGATCCCCCAGGCTTCCTCAGGACACTTCAGGATTCCTTAGGATCCACCATGTCTCCTCAGGACGCCTACGGACTCCTCCGGAGCCCTCATGATTCCTCAAGATCCCTTCAGGGTGCCCCTCAGGATTCCTCCGGATTCCTTAGCATTCTTCAAGATTCCCAAGATTCCTCCTGATTCCTCAGGATTCCTGAGGGCCCCCTTGGGATTCCAAAGGATCCCCTAAGGGTCTGCTAAGGACTTCTGGGGGGATCCTGGGGGATTCCCGAGCTTTTCCCTTGCGGAATTCTTGGGGGTCCTGAGAGCTCCACAAGGGGTTCTCGAGGATCCCCTAGGGGGTCCTGAGGACCTCCCCCCCCTCCTCCCCCCAGGTGGTCCTGAGAATGGCCTCGGGGCTCCTGGGGATGCTCTAAGGATTCCTGAGGATTCCCTTGGGGTTTCTGGGGATTCTTAAAAAAATCCGGGGGATTCCCTTTTAAGGGTTCCTGATGATTTCTTAAGGATTCCTTTGGATTCCCTCGGGATTCCTGAGGATGCCCTTGGGGGTCCTACGGAGTCTCTAAGGGGTTGTAGAGGAATCCCGATGGGGTTCCTTCGAAGATGCCCTAGGCATCCCTGAAGGTTCCCTGGGGATTCCCGCGGATCCCCTATGGGGTCCTGGGGATTCCTTAGGGGGTCCTGAGGATTCCTTCTGGGTTCCTGAGGACTCCTTTTTGGTTCCTGGGGATTCCCTTTGGATTCGGGATGATTCCCGGATGGGGTCCTGGGGGTTCCCTAAAGGGCTCCTGACGACATCCTCGGGATTCTTGGGGATTCCTTTTGGGGTTCCGGAGGGCTCTCTGCGGGCCTCTTGAGGATTCTTCTGGAATTCCTGAAGGGCCCTTGGGGTTTCTGGGGGATTCCCGGAAGGGTCCTGTGAGTTTTCCCGAAGGGGCTCCCGAGGGTCAGGGGCTTTTGAGGATCCATTCGGATGTCCCGGGGATCCCCTCGGGGCTCCTGGGGATTACTTAAGGGCGCCTGAGGGTTCCCTGAGGATTCCGTAAGGGATTCCCCAGGGTTTGATGAGGAAGTGCGCGCGCATGTTTTTTTCATGAAGACATGCAGTTGCGACATCCATTTATTTTTCAAAACCAGAGTACCAGTGTTCGAAAAGATCGCTCTCGAACTCTTTACGAAACCAAAGGTTTTGGACAGACTTCGACATGCGAGCGCGGCGGACGCGCGCATGTGGTCTGCATGGTATTGTTTGATCGGGATTATGCCTGGATGGTGGTGCTGCTGCTGCTGCCCCTCCCCCTCCCTCCCTTCCACCCTTTATGAAGCTCCCTCTTCCCCTGCTCCTGTCGGGTCTGCTGCCGCCGTCTTTGCCGTCTGAGTCTTTAGCTTTCGTCAGGGGTTGTGAGGGTCCTTGAGGGTGTCTTAGCTGCACACGGGGCCGAAGAAGGGGGTAGCGCACGGGGAGCGTTTTCTGTGGAGGGAACAGCACAGACGACGGTGCACACGGGGCCGGAGTGTACGTTTGCCCACCGCGGCGCGACACCGCCGCTGATGGCCTCTAGCAGGGCCGGAGAAGTTGTCGTCACGCAGCGTCTCAGGACGGGGCCGGAGTGTGCGCCCATCCACCGGGGGAGTGACACCGGAGGCTCTGGCCCTGCCTTGGGCCGGAGTGTACGCCTTTCCGTTGTTGTTGTTGTTGCTGCTGCTGCTGCTGCTGCTGCTGTTGTTGTTGTTGAACATTATTTATTCTAAAGAATAATTATTGTTGGGCCCCCTGGTGCGCGCCCCCCCTGCGCCGCCTAGGCCGCAGCTACATTTTCATCATTTTCGTGAGGAAGCCTCAGAAAAGAGGGTGTGTACAGGATCCGGTTGTTTTGTTGTAATCCGCTTTCCCTTGCAAAAAACAATAGAAAATGACATTTCTTGTTCTAATATAATCAAATTTCAAGAATCCCTTGCAAAAAATAAGGTAAAGTGGACATTCGCGCGCGCAAGACGAAATCCTTCCAAAACCTTAGTGTTCGCAGCGATTTTAACATAAAAACATCAAAAAACCAATGGTTTTTCAACAAAAAATGTCAAAATCTCATCCCGCGCGCTCTTGCGGATTCGTAGGAAACCCAACACTTTTTAAACATTTCTGTCAAACGGGCTTTTGCGAGCAACTTTTTCGAACTTCTGCGACAACGGTTGCGCACCTGCCAGGGCCATCATCCCTGTCAAATAATACCATGCGGGACACATTCGTTTTTTCTTCGCGCGCGCACGCCGAAATCTCCAAAAACCATTGGGCTTCTTAAGAATTTTAGCACCGCGCATCATAAAATCACACGAATCGCACCGTAGGTCCTCGAAAAACACCTGCACGACTTTTCAAAATTTCTACCCGCGCGCGCTGTCCGAATCCTAAAAAAAACAATGGTTTTCCAACATTTATGTTACATGAGCTCGCGCGAGCTACTTTCGCACGCTCTTGCAACGGGGTTCGCGCGCCTGCCAGGGGCCACAATCCCTTGCGGTTGCGCCATAGGTTGCGCCCTCGGCCGCCGCTTCGAACTTCTGCAACAACGGTTGCGCGCATGCCAGGGCCATCATCCCTGTCAAATAATACCATATTGGACACATTCGTTTTTTCTTCGCGCGCGCACGCCGTCGTCGTCGGCCGCGGGGCCCTGAATAGTAGCCACGGTCGTCCGCATGCCACGAAGTGAAGTGTCCGAACGTCATAGGGCGGGAAGCTGGGTGTGGGTGGTGGCGAAGAGTCGTATGGAAATTTGGTAGAGCTTGAACCGGCCCCCCCACAAAGTGGGGGTATTGCCCGCCTCCTATGAAAACCCTGGCACTGGTGAGAACGGAGTGTCCCCAGTCTTAAATGATTGTTGTTGTTGTTGTTGTTGTTGCTGTTTTTATGTATCTATGTCGCTTGCTCTTCTTTCTACAAGGGGCCACCGAAAGGGGTCACCAGCTCCTTCCTGCGAGGTCGGGGATCGCAGAGGAGGGAGGATCGAGGATCGAGGACGAGGGAGCTGAGGATCGAGGAGGGAGGATCGAGGATCAAGGATCGAGGGGGAGGAGGAGGAGGAGGAGGAGGAGGAGTGATCGAGGATCGAGGAGGGAGGATCGAAGCTCAGAAACTGCTGGGATCTGGAGATCCCAGCAGCGTCTGAGCACCTTTGGGGCCCTGAGCGGTCCTGGAGGGCCCGTGGGCCCCGTTAGCAAGAGAGGGCGAGCGACGAAAACAGACGAAGCTTGCGCGAGATGACGCAGCGCCTTTGCGCGGTGGCATATGCAGGCCGCCAGAGCGGAACGCTCATTGGAAACAAGGGCGCTCGCGCGCGACCTTACGCGGACAGCTTACGCGCCAATGTCGGCGCAGACGGCCTTCTTCTTCTTCTACGTCGCTCAAGTGACGACCCCGCTTAACTAGGGGAACCAGCAACAACATAAACAGAAAACTCGGGGAGGTCCGCGCGGATTCCTGGGATCCGCGCTGGCCCCCCCTCCCTGGCGCGCGGAGCGCGCCAGGGCCGGCGCTGGAGGCGCCGAAAAGGGCGCCCAGGTGCCGACCCAAGGAATCCGCGCGGAGCTCCGAAGCTTTGCGCTTATGTCGTTGTTTGTTCGCCGAGTCTTCGTCTTCCTCGTCGTCGTGGTGGTCGTGGTGGTGGTCGTGGTGGTGGTCGTGGTGGTGGTGGTGGTGGTGGTGGTGGTCGTCGTCGTCGCCGTCGTCTGCCGAGGCTCGCTCAGGTGGCGACACCCCTCGGTGGCGACCCCCCTGGGCTGCTGCGGCTCAGGGCGAACGAATCCACAGGATGCAGCCCTTCCCTGCCCTGCCGCGGTGGGCGTGGCAGGTGTTGAAAGCGGGCGCCTCCAACCGAAACGGAGGGCTTCCCCCTGGAGGCGAGGGAGAACGCGGAGCGGTGACGACATGGGAGGACAAGGTGCGGGCAAGATTTATATCCATATCCGTGCGCCTTCGATTTTTTTGGAAGGGGCACCATAAGGCCGATGTGCACTGGACATGGATAAACATCGAGCCTCTAGGGGGCAAATCTATCCATATCCAGTGCGCCTCGGGTTTCCGGGGAAGGGAGCCCAGAACTCCATACTGCAGTGGATATGGACATAAGTACTGCTCGCAAAAGGCGAGGAGAAGGAAAAGGCACGACGGAGAGGAGGAAGAGGCGCGACCCCCTCGGCGCTGCCCCGCCTTGAAGGGGAACTGGAACACACAAATAAATACACACAAATAAAAATATCCCCCATATTTTCCCATATTTTCTGGGTTTTTGTCTTCCCCACCACTTCCCATATTTTTGCACATTTTCCTGGGAGTCGACGATTAATTGTGTCTGTGTGTTTCTTTCCCTCCTGACGCCTGCAGAGCCCGACCGCCGTGGGGGGCGGCGCCGGCGTCGGGAGCACGATCGGCGGCGCCTGCGCCGCCGGAGCACGCCCACGTGCTCTGCCGCAGGGGGCGTGCCCCCCCCCCCTCCAGGGAATCTCGGGGGGGAGGGAGCACTGTGCACTTCTGTTGGGGGCCTGGAAAATGGGCACCAACACCAGGACAAGGGGTTGCCTCCACAGGGGGAAGGTGATCCTAGATTTCGGTGCTGGTGGTCATATTTCGGTCACCTTGGGAGCCATAATATTATCACCATCACCGAGATTGGGATCTTCTTCCCTCGGTGAAGGCACACCGCTGACATTGGTGTTGGTGTCAACCTCGAGGCCTGCGATTCTGTCGGGGGGGACGAAAGGGGGGGGACAGCAAAGGGTTGGTAGAGAATCGGCTCACGCAGCTGCTTCTCCCAGCGCCCCCCGGCGCCGGGAGGCGCGCCCATGTATCGAGGAATGGGCCCGACGGCGGGGCCGAAACCAGGCGCATGCAGCAGACTCCGTAACCCTCCCTTTCCCTATATCCCCCCCTTTCGTTTGGTCCGATCCTGGCGAGGCCCATCCCGAGCACAGCAGCGGTGCACACGCCCTCCTGGCTCGGCCAGGGCACCACACGCACCGATCTCCTGGGCCCAGCGCTGAGCCCGGCCAGGATCGGAGCATGCGCACAGCTCTCTCCCGCCCGACTCGGGGAGCGGTGGGCGTGAGCATCCACTGAGATCTGAAGGGGACGGACCACGGATCGGCGCTGGGGCCCCCCTGGCAGCGCCTCTGGCGCCGCCCCTTTGTGCGCTCCGCGCGCCAGAGGGGGGGGGTCCAGCGCCGATCCAAGACATCCGCCCATGCCTCTGGGTTTCTACGTTTATGTCACTGCTTGTTCCCCGAGCGGCGGACGTGGACATCCCCTGAGATCTGGGCGCTGCAATTGGTCCACCGCGGGCGTCTTCCCTCGGCTTCAGGCCCCGGGGCGATTACAGATCGCTCCGGCTCGAAAAGCGCCGCAGGAAAATTTGGTCTGGAGCTCCAGTTTCGCGCTGCTGCAGTGTTCTCTCAGCGACGCATCTCGGGGTCTGCCCGCCCGCGCGGGCGGGCAGATGGCCACATCCACCGCCCCTCGAGATCCCTCCCCAGACATGCGGCGCCCTGCTTTTCCTCCAGCGCCCGCGCAGCGAGGCGAAGGAGCGAGGAGGGGTTGGAGGAGGAGTGTTCCTCCTCCTCCTCCTCCTCCTCCTCCTCCTCCTCCTCCTCCTCCCTCCTCCTCGTCCTCGTCCTCGTCCTCGTCCTCGTCCTCCTCCTTCTCCTCCTCCTCGCCTCCCAGACTCCCCGACCCTTTCCCCGGGACCCCGGGACCGGCTTCTCGTCCTCGGTCGCTCTCGTTGGCGCTCCCCGGGGCCGGCCGGGCGCGGGGGCCTCGGGAGGCCTACTACGGTGCAGCGCCGACCGTCCCGGATCTGCAGCGGCGCGCTCGCTCGCCATCGCTCGGACGTCCACTCCACGTGCATTTTTGTTCGACCTCGCGCGCGCATAATTACTTCGCTGAATGATCAGAGATGCTCCTCGATGGTCCTCGCCGACAGAATGCACACGTCCGAGCGATGCCGAGGCTCATGTCTGGGTCCGCGGCAGTGGGTATGGGCACATTCTGGCGGGGGGGTGCCGGCGTGGCCGTCGGCGGCGGCGTGCTCACCGAGGTCGGCGCGGGGGTGGGCATCGAAGTCGGCTGCGCGGTGTCCGGTGGGGGCGAGCTGGTGCTCACCTCTGCAGGGGATGCCAAGGGATCGCAAAGCTGACGACCGCGGTGCGAATCAGAGTTGGATGCTCGTTCGGGGGGCCTTCCTGGAGCCACTCGCTCCACTCGTGCGTCGAAGCTGCGTCGAACGCCAGTCGATTTGAGTCGACCCTGAGTCGAGCCTGAGTCGAACCTGAGTCGAACCTGAGTCGAACTTGAGTCGAACTTTAGTCGAACTGGGGTCGAACAGATCCGTTAAGTGGGCTCCAGGAAGGTCCCCGAAACGAGCATCGAATCAGAGAGTCACCAGGCAAGACAAGCCTTTACAGGGGGGCAGGAGCGACGCAGGCATGACAAGCCTGCGGAGGTCCGCGCGGACTTCTCGAGTTGGGGGATCGACCTCCTCCTCCTCCTCCTCCTCCTCCTCCTCCTCCTCCTCCTCCTCCCCCTCCTCATCCTCCTCCTCCTCCTCATCCTCCTCCTCCTCCTCCTCCTCCTCCTCCTCTCCCTCCTCCCCCTCCTCCCCCTCTACAAAGTTCATTTACCCCACAACTGATTTCCTCGTCGCATCTGCAACGCGCACGTAGAATGCTTATAGACCTACGAGCCTGCCGCGTGTTTGTTGTAGATCCGACGAACAAAACCGTTCTGGGGTAGATCAAGTCTGCAATCGATCCCCTACTCGGGCACTCGGGCCCCAAGAGAAGCCCAAGAGAGGTAGCCTTCCGAGCCCTCCGCCCCGAGAGGACACCCCACACCGCCAGCGACACCCAAGAAACTTCCCAGAAGCCCAGAAGCCCGGAGACGCGCCCAGGACGCCGACGAGAGGCCCCGAAAGGCCTCACCTGCTCACCTGTCGATTTCGGGCTGCGCCACTGGGACCTTAGGTGGAACCCCATATAAGGCCACGAAGCGCTGTGCTGGGTGGGTGAAACGCAGGGAGGAGGAGTGCGGAGGAGGGAGGAGGGAGGAGGAGGAGGGAGGAGGAGGAGGAGGAGGAGGAGGAGGAGGGAGGATGGGGGAGGAGGAGAGGAGGGAGGAGGAGAGACGCGGGGCGCTGTCTCTTCAAAACGAGGACCCAACACCACAGGATGCTTCGGGAAAAAAAGCCAGGACAACTTCGAAAGACGGGGGGCCGCGACGCAGAAGAGCTCACGAAGTCCATTCTTGCCTCTCCCAGAGCGCGCGGGCCAGACGCAGGTCCTGCCCCCGGACGGCGCGCGCGAGGGGGCGGAGGAGCAAGGCCCAACTCTCGCGGCGCGCGTCGTGGAGACTCAGCTGGCGACCTCGGGCCGCGCGCGCAGCGCCCCGCCGAGCCCTCGTCGCCGCGGCCAGGTCGGTCGGGGCGGGATAGCGACCTGCCTCGCCGAGCTCCTCGTGCTCCGTGACGTAGCACTCGAGCAACGGGTCGGCGCAGACCCGGTGCGGGGCTCCCGCGAACTTGTCCGGGTCGGGCCGCCGCGGCCGCCAAGAGACGGCCCTCGGGGCGCAGTCCGAAATGTCGGCTCTGAATAGCTCCTCCGCCTCACAATCGCATCGCGCGCGCTGCCGCAGTTGGCAAATGACTATCTCCCAGACCACCCCAACCCAACCCGAAGACCCGAATTTCGGGTTGGGGGGGGTAAGGGTTCCACATGTGTTTTTTCGACGTTTCCCGACCCCCCCCCACTGGAAATCGAGGGTAAATTTGAGCCTTCGGGTTGGGTTGGGGTGGTTTGGTGGGTGGTGAGCAAAGCATCCACGGGGGCGTGGCCGCGAAGCACCAGTCGATGCGGGCCGACGACTCCGCCCCGCGATGATAGTGGCTGATGCCCTGGGCGACCAGCTCGGTGAGCTGGCGGAAGATGGCCTCCCGGGGGCGGGCCCCCGACCCGCCGATCCGCGGCTCAGGCTCGGCGCAAACCCGGCACCGGTGCCAGACGATGGGGTCGGCTGCCGACGCCGGCGCTCCAGACCAGCAGTGGCCGCCTCGACCGTGTCATCGTTGATATTGAAGTCACCAGTCAAGATGAGACTGTTGGCGAAGGGAGCAGATCGGACGACGCCAATCTGGGCAAGGATGGCCGAACGGATCCCGTCGAAGTCACTGCCCTCCAAGTCGTGGTTGCGAACGTTCCAGTGGAACCATCGGAAGCCCGGGGACACATGGATAATCTCAAGCATTAGAACCCTGGCCGCGACAAAGACCTGGGGCGAAAATCGGAGCATCCGCGCCGCAGACTTCGGGACCAGGGTGCACACTTCGCCAGCATGTCACAGCCGCGGGGGGGGCGTCAAAAACTTCGAAATCGCAACAAAGCCGACCAAGTAGTTCTGAGACAGCGTTGCCGGGACCATGGACCTCCTGCGGAGCGAAGATGGTTGACGAGTCAAGCAATGGCCGCATTGTCACCGCCTTCCGAGCAAGGGCAAGTGACTGGTGGTGCAAAGAAGCCTGAGCGTTCCATGAGCCAAATACCACCCGCTCGGAGCCCAAGATGTCGCTACCCACTCCGCTGAATCTGCTGAGGCTCGAAGAGGCGCGAGGCGGGACGGACAAGGTCCGCACGAACCAGGTGGAGATCCGCTAGGAGGAGGAAGAGGAGGAGGAAGACGAGGATGAGGAGGAGGAGGAGAAGGAGAAGGAACAAAAAGGAGTGGAAGGACAGGTGAAATGCGGGATAGGGGGAAAGGAAGGGGGGAGGAGGAACAGAAGAGGGAAAAGAAGGAGGACGGCGAAGGGAGAGCGGAATTCAGGAGAAAGGGAAGGAGGGGGAAAAGAGAAGTGGGGGGTCCCTCCTCACCCCCTCTTTCGCCAGCCCCTCCTGCCCCTCCCGCCTCGCCCTTCCTGTACCGCCTCCGCCGTTCCAGTGCCCCAGGCAGCCGAGGTCTCGCATTTTCCTGAAGCCCTCTTGGTGTGGGCCTGCGTGCACGCACACACCTGATGTGTGTACATTATATGTGTTTACATGCTTTATATACATACGCATGTGTACACCAATGTGTGTATATGTATCTATGTGTATATATATATACATAGGCAATTACTGTTTACATATATACGTAAAACTATATCGCTATATAATCATATCTATGTATGTAATGCCTGCATCCATATAACTTGTGCGTCTCTGCATGTGTTATACAAGGTGTACTGGATCATGTATACTTACACGCATCCAATAACATCATTGCAGCGTGTTGAATAATGTTATACCCAATGTTGTTGTGTGTTTAAGATGTTTGGTATCACCAATAGACATTGATGTTTCCGGGGCCTTAAAATAATGCTTGGGGTCGGGGCTCACAATATGAGCCCTGGGGCTCGAATGATGAGGCCCGCGACCTTCTGGGCTGGTCCACAAAGGCTCCCCAGGCTCTCCAAACGATGCCGCGCTCCCCCGATAATGGCAGCTCCCCTGATCATCAATCATGGACGGGCTGGTGGGGACACTTTTTGGTCAACAGGCTCGCGAGGCGGGCAGAAAGCCGTCCGAACACTAGTCGGGCCGCGACTAGGCAGCAGGAAAAGAAAGGCAAGCGAAGCGAGCGAGCGGGCAGCCACTCAGAAGGAGAGCCAGAACCGACAGTCCCAAACCCGGTGGCGTTGGTCTGGTGAAGACAAGCGAAGCGTCAAGAACTTGCCCCCTTCGGCCCAAAAATCCGATACATCGTTTTTGTGTATACGGGGTCCCGGGAAATTCCGACCCTCTCCCCAAGGCCGGTTGTGCATCCTGCGCCGTTCCTGACGGCCCCAGGGCCCGGCGGCGACTTCCGGAGGCCAAAAACGACGAGAGACCGCTGCAGTGGAGGTCTCGATGCATCCTACAGGACCCCTACGAACCCTAAAGGACTTATATACAAATCCTTTTGGACTCCTATAGGACCTTGTAGGAATCCTTTTTAGGAATCCTATAGGATCCCTACGGGCCCCATAAAAATCCTGTAGGAATCCTATAAGATTCCAACGGACCCTGTAGGAATCCAGCGGGAATCCTATAGGATCCATACGGACCCGATAGGAATCCTCCAGGAATCCTATAGGTCTGAAGAACCTCGGGGCTCGTGGTGGTACTAGTGCTCGTTGTCGTGGTGGCGTCGAAGAGCGGCCACAGCAAGAGCCACAGCAGCGGCAGCAGCAGCCACAGGAGGCACAGCGACCACCAGCAGCTGCAACCGCTCCCTACGGCGGGCACTGGAAACAACGCGACGTTGCCGGCCCCCATGCCGACATACCTCGGAGAAGCGCCAGCCGAGACAGCCCTGAGATCTGGGCGGTTCGATTGTTTCACACCAGACGTTCTCGCCCGATTCCGGGTTCCCCCTGACTCTGGATCCGCCATGCCTTGATTGATTCGCCGACGTAAGCTTTGCGCCGAAAGTGCACCCAACTAAAACGTACTTACAGGTCCGCATCAGAAGCGTAGGGCTGATATTTCCGCAAAAATACAACGAAAAACAGCGAGAGCAAAGGAGGGCGGAAACCGACATCGAAGGAGCTTGAAAAGCAGGGCGGGAATTCCGGCCCAAGTTGTGACACCGCCCAAACTACGGCGGATCGGGAGCCAGGCGTGGGACCGACACAGATCGATCCGGCTCGGAAAATGAACAGAAAGACCGGGTGTAAGGCTCTGGCGATGCTTTTCTTAACGCTTCTCTTAACGGGCGAAGAACGGTATAAAATAAACTTTTTCGCTGTCGGGGGCGCCTGTCCCAGGGCGGCCGGAAAGTTTGTACCCTTACGGTGGCACCGTATGGGTATAAACTTTCCAGCCGCCCTGGGACAGGCGCCCCCGATAGCGAAAAAGTTTATGTTACACCGTTCTTCGCCCGTTTCGCGATGTTTCAACGTGATGTTGTTGCTCTGTTTCGCCCGTTTCGCGATGTTTCAGTGTAGGGCTCTGGTGATGCTTCTCGCGATGTTTCAACGTCTTCGCGACGGCGGATCTCAAGGAACAGCGGCCCTCCCCGGCGCTGTGCGTCTCTTGCTGGGCCCCCTAACGGCCTCTCGTCGCCGCGGCCAGACCCGCCGCGGAAGACGGGTCGGGGTGGACCCCAGGGAGGGGTCCAGGGACCTGCCTTCAGCGGCCTTGGGTCAGGCGGGAGAGGAGGAGAAGGCGAAGAAGGAGGAGGAGGAGGAGAAGGAAGGAGGAGGAGGAGGAAGAGGAGGAGGAGGAGAAGGCGAGTAAGGAGGAGGAGGAGGAGGAGGAAGGAGGAGGAGGAGGAAAGGGGAGGAGGAGGAGGGCGGAGGAGGAGGAAGAGGAGGAGGAGGGGGAGGAGGAGGAGGAGGCGGAGGAGAAGGGAGGAGGAGGAGGATTCGGAGGAGGAGGAGGAGGAGGAGGAGGAGGAGGAGGAGGAGGAGGAGGAGGAGGAGGACCCCAGGAGGGGTCCAGGGACCTATCTTCGGCGGACTTGGGTTCGGCGGGAGGGCCGCCGCTGCCTCAGCTGGCCCCCTCTGACTACCTACCAGACCACCCCAACCCAAGCCGAAGGCCCGAATTTCGGGCTGGTGGGGGGTAAGGGTTCCACATGTGTTTTTTCGATGTTTCCCGACCCCCCCCCACTGGAAATCGAGGGTAAATCTGAGCCTTTGGGTTGGGTTGGGGTGGTTTGGTGACCCTCTGCCGGCGCACCTGTAGGTGGTGCACGCCACGTACTCGCCCGTGCCCTGCGGGCAGGCTGCCGAGGCAAGAGCAGATGGCAGGCGCCGGCTGTCGGAGGCCCGCGCTCGGCGCCACGCCCCCCTGTGGGACGCCCAGCACAAGCTCGCCATCGCTCGGATGTCCATTTCCTGTGTTTTTGTTCGGTATCGTGCGTGGCTGTTTCGCCAAATGGTCAAGGATGCTCCTCGATGGTCCTCGCCGAAGGAAAAAATGCACACGTCCGAGCGATGCCAAGCAAATGCGGAAAACGTGAACACGACGCCCGACAGCAGATGTGGCCAGAAGCCGGAAGCGGCCGCTGCTGGGCAGGCGGCCTTTCGCCTCAAGTGGAGCAGGAGGAGGAGGAAGGAGGAGGAGGAGGAGGAGGAGGAGGAGGGGGAGGAGGAGGGGGGGGAGGAGGAGGAGGAGGAGGAGGAGGAGGAGGAGGAGAGGAGGAGGAGGAGGAGGAGGAGGAGGAGGAGGAGGAGGAGGAGGAGGAAGACGAGGAGGAGGAGGAGGAGGAGGAGGAGGGGGAGGAGGAGGAGGGGGAGGAGGAGGACCATGTCCGCGGCGGCGCCGACAGCGAGCCCTTCTCAAGATGAGCAGGAACTGCTGCAGGTCTTCGTCCCACTCTTGGCGACGCCCACAAGGGGGGCTGGCGCAAGGAGGGCAGGCTTCTGAGGCGGCGGGGCTTCTAAGAAAGCCAGGGAGGGGAAGAAAAAGAACGGCGGGGCCTCTGAAGAAGCCCCGCGGCCCTCTTAGAAGCTGACCACGAGCAGCGACAGAGCGATGGCCGACGAGCGGTCCTCACGAGCTGCGACAGAGCGCTTGCCGACGAGCGGTCCGCACGTGCTCGATCTGGTTTTGTGTGACACTGCAGACATCACAGCAGGGCTGAACCTAAACGGTGTTTTTCCTTTTCGTTTTGTGCTCGTTTTTCCTTCGTGCTGTCGCCAATCCGCCTTTCCCGCAGAACGAAACCGAAACGAAAACGACCCACGAACTCGCCAGAACACCGTTTAGGTCCACCCCTGCATCACGGCGGGAGACTTCTGATCATCGTCCTCTCTCTCCCTCCGCCTCCCCTTCCTCCCCTTGTCCTTCGTCTCCTTGTCCTTGTCCTCCCCTTCCTCCCCTTGTCCTCCCCTTGTCCTTGTCCTCCCCTTGTCCTTGTCCTCTCCTTCCTCCCCTTGTCCTTCGTCCCCTTCCTCCCCTTGTCCTCCCCTTCCTCCCCTTGTCCTCCGTGCGTGCGGAGTGCGCTTGTCGGCCGCAGGCCCGCGCCCTCTGAGACGCAGGGGCGCCTCTACGAAGGAGGGCGCGCCGCTGGATCTCCCCCAGGGGGGGGGGAGGGTTAGAACCCCCCGCCCCCTCCCCTTTCCCCGATCCGTCGTCGAGGACCCCCTCCCCCCCCTCCCCCCTTTCCCGGCCCGTCGTCGGGGACCCTTCCCCCCCTCCCCCACTTTCCCGGTCCGTCGTCGGGGATCCCCCCCTCCCCTCCTCTCAAAAGGGAGGGGGGGGTCCGGAACCCCTCCCCCCTCCCCCCTTTGGCGCTGAAAAGGGGGGGTTCGAACCCCCCCCTTTCGCCACGGCGCCCCCTGACTCTGAAACCCGACCCCTACCATCCCTAACGCTACCACCCCGACCACCCGTAACCCGAACCCCAAACCCTAGCCCCAGCCCCAAACAGTACGCAGTACTCATTATTCACTACTCACTACTCACTACTCGCTACTCACTACTCACTTAACACTATTCACTGCTCACTACTCACGACTCACTACTCACTACCCACTACTCACTACCCACGACCCACTACCCACGACTCACTACTCACGACTCACTACTCACTACGCCCAATTCGCTACTCACTATTCACTACACACTACTCAATACTCACTACTCACTAAACACAAGCTACTCACTACCCACTACTCACTACTCATTAATCACTACTCACTACCCACTATCCACTACTCACTACTGAGTACTCCCATTCACTGCTCGCTACTCACTATTCACTACCCACTACTCACTACCCACTTCCCACTACTCACTACTCACAACTCACTACTCATTATTCACTACCCACTACTCAATACTCACTACTCACTAAACACGACTGACTACCCACTACTAACTACTCACTAATCACGACTCACTACCCACTAACCACTATCAACTACTGAGTACTCACAATTCACTACTCACTACTACTCACTGCCCACAACTCACTACTCACTATCCGCTGCTCGCTACTCGCTACTCCCTATTCCTTACACACTACGCAATGCTCACCTCTCACGACTCACTACTCCCTACTCGCGACTGCAACGCATTATCCACTACTCACTACCCATTTCTCACTTCTCACTCCTCACTGCTCACTCTTCCGTACCCACTACTCACTACTCACTACTCACTATTCGCTACTCCCTACTCGCTACTCACAACTCTCTACGCAATACTGACTACTGACTACCCCCTCCTCACTACCCACTGCTCACAACGCCCTACTCGCAACTCACTATTCACTACTCGCTACTCCCTACTCGCTACTCCCTACTCACTACCCACTACTCACTGCCCATCACTACTCACTACTCACTACTCACTACTCACTACTCATTGCGCACTACTCACTACTCATTACTCACTAAAAACTACTCACTCCACACTACTCGCTACTATCTACTCACTGATCACTATTCACTACCCAATACTCACCATTCACTACTCTCTACTCACTACTCACTACCCACTATCCTGAAGCCAGACCCCCCCCCCTTGCGGGAGATGCCCCCTCTCCGGCCCCTCTTTCCAGCGCTAAGGGGGGGAGGGGGGGGGGGGGTCCAGAACCCCCCCCCGCCCTTCAAGGGGGGGAGGCGGGGGGGGGGTCGGACCCCCCCTCCCGCCGTTAAGGAGGGGAGGGGGGAGGGGGGAGGTCGAAAATCTCACCCCCCCTTTGAAGGGGGGGAGGGGGGGGGGTTCTGCGAGCACACACACCCTTTTCAATTACAGGGCGATCCAGTGGCGCGCTTTCTCTAAGAAGCCCTCCCCCCTCCCCCCACCCCCCTCTGCGCGTGGCTGATTCGACCTTGAAGTCGGGCGTGTCCCCCTACAGGCGGATTTTGGACGAAAACTGAAAAATGCCCCCCAAAAAAATGCAAAACCTACGCAACACTTGAAAAAACGTCCCCAGAGTACGTTTTACGGTGTTTGAATGTTCCTCCTGTGTAGACACGCCCGACGTATGCCTGGGTCCGACCGCCCCCCGGGCCCAAGATCGCCGCGCCAGGGGGGGGGTAGTGTCCGGCGCGCCGGTCCGAGAGATCCGCGCGGGCCTCAGAAAGCTAACCCGTCGGTCGGAAGAAACTTTTTTGCTACAGTCATCGGCCTGACCTAAGGAACGATAAATAAGGAACGAAGCCCCTTTTTTATCCCAAGGAATAGCGCATAAGGAACGATAAAGAACAACTAACGCATAAGGAACTGTAACTAACGCATGCAAGCCTAAGGAACGACCGAGCCCCTTTTGAAAAGTAAGTGTTCCTTACTCAAGCCGCTCACTGGATTCGAGCAGCCCCGGCTGGAAGGTTCGGGTTGGAGCTCGGAGCCCTCGGGGGCACCCCAGCGGCCTCCAGGAGTCCCCGGGGCCATCGGCGGCAAATCCGCGTCAGCAAACTCCACTCGAGGCACCCCCGGAACGGTCGGAGGAAGGGAGCGGATCTAACCATGAAGCAGACAGGCGCTGGAAGCAGATTGGGCTTCCGCCCGCCTCGATGACTGAAGCAGGGAGGCGAAACTCTCGCAGGCATGTGTGGTGCCAGCAGGTCGTCCAACGGGTCTGACGAGCAAACAGTGCGGGACACGCCCGGCGAATTCGCCAGCGTGGCAGCGCGGGCCCCCGGACAACTTAGTCCGACGACGGGACTGACTACCTACCAGACCACCCCAACCCAACCCGAAGCCCCGAATTTGACCCGAATTTCGGGTTGGGGGGGGTACGGGTTCCATGTGTTTTTTCAATATTCCCCGACCCCCCCGCACTGGAAATCGAGGATACAATTAGGCCTTCGGGTTGGGTTGGGGTGGTTTGGTGGGTGGTGAGGGACGGACCGAAGAAGAAACGCGGGCAAGGCGGGAAACGCGAGCAGGGCAAGCAGGGAGGCGCCCGCAGCAGACTGGGAATGCGGGAGCCCAGAAGCACCTGCCGTCCAAGGCCGACGGGCCTGCCCGCGCCGCTCCCCCGCCCAGCCCTGAAGGGACCCCAGGACACACAAATAAATACACACAAATAAGAACATTCCCCATATTTTCCCATATTTTCTGGGTTTTTGTCTTCCCCCCCACTTCCCATATTTTCCCATATTTTCTGGGAATCTACGATTAATTGTGTCTGTGTGCTTTTTCCCCTCCTGAAGCCCCTCCCTCTCGGCGGCCAGCCCGGGGGTACGCGAGCGGGGGCGGACCTTCTCAGCAGGCTCGGAAGCCCCCTCAGCCTTCTGAGGAGTGGCCTGCGCCCCCCCCCCCCCCGAAGGCGCAGAAGCCCTCTCACAGAAGGCCGGAAGGCCTTCTGAGAGGTCCCGCCGCCTTCTGAGAAGACCTCCTCCTTCTCCCCCCCCCCCCCACAGGCGCGCCGCCGCATTGCAGCGTTGCCCGCGTCGGGAGGGGTTGGGATCGCCGCGTCGCTGGCCAAAGTGCCCGCTGAGCCTCCCCCGAGGGCACAGCAGACCCCTCCGAGGGCGCGAGGCCCTCGGAGCTGCCCCCGGCGCCGCCCTCTGCGAGGGGCGCGCCTTCTCCTCCTCACTTCCCCCCCCCCCGCTCGCCGCCGAGAAAGGTGCCTGCTCTCAACGACCAGCGGGCCTGCTCGCGCCGTTCCTGACTGCCTACCAGACCACCCCAACCCTACCCGAAGACCACAATTTCGGGTTGGGGGGGGGGTACGGGCTCCATATGTGTTTTTGTCAATGTTCCCCGACCCCCCCCAACTGGAAATGGAGGGTAAATTGAGGCCTTCGGGTTGGGTTGGGGTGGTTTGGCGGGTGGTGAGTTCCCCCTCCGCGCCCGCGCCGCTGCCGCTGCCGCTGCCGCTCCCGCTGCCGTCGCCGCCGCTCCCCGGCCCGTGGCGCCCCCGCGGGGAGCTCTCGGGTCGCCCCGGCGCTCGACGTGCCGAAGGGGCCCCAGGACACACCAGTGCACTGACACAAATCCCAGGCGCCGCAGGCCCTGGCCAGGGGCGTGCTTGTGGTTGGGATTGCCTGTCCAGCCACCCCCGTTTGAAGCCTTGCTGGTAGTCCTGCCCAGAGGCTTCAGTAGACGAAGCACAAGTGCATACATGAGGCCGCGCCCTTGTCTCGAGGATGGCCCATCTTGTCTGGACCTCCGTCTCCCCCCCCAGCTCCCACGCTTTCCACATCTCTCCCCGGGGATCGACGGCTCATCGTGTCCGCGTTTCTTCCCCTCCCGAGATGTAGAGGCCGCCCAGATGGGGTCCGAGTAGATGGGGTCGGAGGGTCGCGCCGCATCGGCGATGCATCGGCGATGCATCGCCAATGCATCGCCGACGTATCGGCGATGCACCAGCGATGCATCGGCGACGTCAGCGATGCATCGGCGACGCCAGCGTGGGGAAACACGGGCTCCACATCGAGCCGCATCGGCGATGCCCAGAGATCCGACGTCGTGATTTTTTCAATTCGGGGTCCCCAGAGGTCTCGACCCATCCTCCAGGACCGGTTTTTCATCCTGAATCGTTTTTTGGCGGTCCCGGGGCCCAGCGAGGGCCCCTTGAGGCCGAAAATAGCGAAAAACCTCCGTCTTGATTTTTTCAATACGTTGGGTCTCTGGGTGCATCGGCGATTCGGCGCGATCCTCCGAGCCCATCCACTCCGACCCCATCTGGGAGGCCCAGAACTCAGGAGGGGAAAAAACACACAGATACAATTAATCGTCGATTCCCAGGAAAATATGCGAAAATATGGGAAGTGGGGTGGAAGACAGAAACCCAGAAAATATGGGAAAATATGGGGGATAATTTTATTTGTGTGTATTTATTTGTGTGTTCTTGGGCCCCTGCAAGAGCATGCGGGCCCGGGAGGTGCCCCACGCCTGCCTCCCGGGCCCCCCCCATGGCCCTCCAAAGGCCGGCGGCCGGCGAGGGGCCCGTGGCTCCAGGGCTGCCTCTCTCCACGGCCACGCGTGCTGTGCGCGGTGGCTCCCTGGCGCGAGCGCCAACTCGCGTCGTGAAAAAATCACGACGGGAGGTTTTTCGCTATTTTCGGCCTCTGGGGGCCCTTACCGGGCCTCGGGACCGTCAAAAAACGACTCGGGATGAAAAACCGGTCCCGGGGAATGGCTCCGGACCTCTGGGGGTCGCGTCATGAAAAAATCATGACGTCGGGGGTCTGGGGCGCGAGCGCCAACTCGGGAGCGGCCGAGGCCGAGCACGCGGCGCTGCGAGGCATGCCGGTGCAACCGGAACCTCGGAGGACGGTGGTGCTGCGCCTGTGGCTCCAGGGCCTCCTCTCCACGGCCGCGCGCTGTGCGCGGTGGCTCCCCGGCGCGAGCGCCAACTCGGGAGCGGCCAAGAGGGGGGTGTCCAAGAGGGGGGGGTGCTAATCATGACCGGCGGCACGTGCGCGGCCCAGCGGGGGGGCCAGGGACGTAATGAAGTAAGAAGAGGCGCCATGAAACCTGGGAAATATCGTGGCCCCCGCCATGATATCCACCCCCTCCTAGTCATCACCCCCCTCTTTTCCGCCCCCGACCAACCTCCGAGGCCGAGGCCGAGCACGCGGCGCTGCGAAGCATGCCGGTGCAACCGGTACCTCGGAGGATGGCGGTGGTGCAAGCACCGCAGGCGGGCGGGGGTGGAAGGAGCGTGCAAGCGAGGCCATCGACACTCTCGGGTCCAAGGGAGTGGCGGGGGGAGAAGGGCAAGGTGGCTGGTGGAAGTGCTCCTCTGCCTCCTGGGCCTGTGCGTCCTCGCTGGGGTGCTTGGTTTCAAGAGTGGCCCCCCGTGCCCCAGTCGAAGTCCTTCGCCATCGCAGCCGAGGGGCTCTCCAGTGCTGAGCCTGACGGCCTGGCGACCACGGCGAAGAAGCAAGGCCAAGAGGCTCTGCACAAGAAGTACGACAGGGGCAGGGACGCTCAACCCATCCGCGAACAGCCAAGGGTGGAGCAGCCCGAGTCCGTGCACACCAGGGCCAGCCAGGCCCAGTCTAAGATCAAGCAGTTTGAGACGCGCATCGAAGATGAACTCGACAAGTTGGAGCGTTGGAGAGCTGATACGAAGCAGTTGGAGGAGGATACCATCCAGCAGCTATCGGATGAGCTCACTGGCCACGAGCATCTGTACAAGGAACTGTCTAGACAGATTCGTGCTGAAATGGCCTGAGAAGGTGCTATGGTTCCCGGTGCTCCGAAACTCAGCCTGCGCGCCATCGTCGAGTCTGAGGCAGAGATTGAATTGGCTGACGACCTGCTTGAAGACCTGCCCAAGGACTTCGAGTTCTCGGAAGAGGATAAGCGGGCCTCCGAGGAGCGGAAGAAACTTCTGGCTGACCAGTTCCGTGAAGTGGCTACGCACCTCTTCGGCGGCGCCAGAGCGACCTTCGACAGTGCCCGCAAAGAGCACAAGGCACACATCGCCCGCCTGGTCACCAAGAAGAGGAGGACGGGATATGGAGAGGCTGCGGCTGCTCCTGGCGGCGGAGAGGGTGATGCTGGCATGGCCTCCTCCTCCTCCTCCTCCTCCTCCTCCTCCTCCTCCTCCTCCTCCTCATTCCTCATTCCTCCTCCTCCTCCTCCTCCTCCTCCTCCTCCTCCTCCTCCTCCTCCTCCCCCTCCTCCTCCTCCTCCTCCTCCCCCTCCTCCTCCTGGGGCAGCCGAACTCTCCTGAGGCTGGCGGTGGAGCCCCAGCCGCGCCTGCCTCCCCTCTGCCTCTGGCGGCCTCGGCCGCCGGCAAGACGCCAGCGCGCGTCGGGAGCCGGTCCTGCGCTTCGCGCCCGGCTGCAGCGGGCTCTCGGCAGGGCCCGAGGGCCCATGCTCCCCTCGAGTAACGAAAAAGTCAGGACGTGACTCAAGGAAGAAGGAGACGACGTGTCACGTTTCCTCGCCCTTCTAGCGGTGATGTCCGGAGGCCGGGCCAGGGCGTGCAGGTGAGCACCCGGTCTGCAGCGATCGCACCCTAGGGTGCTCCTCCGGCTTGAGCCATTTACCATGACGGGAGGTTGCTCACCATTTTCGGCATCTGGGGGCCCTTGCCGGGCCTCGGATCCGCCAAAGAACGACTCAGGACGAGCAACCGGTTCTGGGGAATGGGTCGAGTCCTCTGGGGGTCGGCGTTGTGAACAGATCATGACGTCGGGGGTCTGGGAGTGCGGACGCAGACAAGCCGCCACTTTAGCAGGGGCCCAGTTGGGGCCTCAGGCTTGGAAGTTTCCCAGGGCAGCCCCCGTTTTAGGGGGGGGGGGGGAAGCTTTGCGGGCTGGGCGATGCTTGCACCCTGAGGTTAGAAGGCCCTAAGTTTTTGGAGAATTTGGAGGTTCGTGGATTTCCAGATCCAGGTCCTAGGCCAGATGATGAACTCCTGGAGTTTGTCATCGCTACTGCGAACTGCAACAGTTGGGGGGCGTTACGAGATTGGCTCCCCTCTGCGAAGAGTTCTCACGCAGCTCTGGTTCAGGAGCACCACTTTGTGGACTCTGACAGTTTGGAGAGTGCTTCGAAGCTTTGTTCCAATCGTGGCTGGAAGTCGAAAGGGGGCACTTCGGGATGTGTTGTGATCCTGTCGCGTAGCTTTCTCGGTCTTCACCAGCCTCTGCTGATCTATCCTGAAAGAGCTATTGGGGCTATCGGTCACCTAACTGGTGGGGCCCCGGTCGCCTTGGTATCTATCTACGGCATCGGAGGGGGTGGCTGACCGACGGATTGAGCTCTTTCGGAATTGGGACGCATATTTATCATGCGAATGCATGGCCTACACGGTCTGAGGGGACTTCAACTGGGAGCCCGCAGTTGCGCAGGACCTCGGTATCTCGGAGAAGTGACAGAAGTGATATTATTTCGACAGGAAAGCCGACGCGTTTCAGCTCGAAACACTCGTGCCTGGACTACTGCCCGGTGTTTAGTGGATTGGTCAAGAACATTAAGCAGATCCGTCTCTGCCAGGAGTCGAAGTTCCCCCTCACTTCGCCGCGGACCTCCAGTTCTTTCCCCAGCTGGCTCGCCTCCAAGACCAGGGTTTCAAGAACCCCCCCCCGCTTCCAGTGGAACCCCCTCCTGGAGCGGCCCGCAGGCCAGGTGTTTGCTCCAGGGGGCATTCCATCCTGGACTTGGGTCGGGCATGTCCCCCTACAGGCGGATTTTGGACGAAAAATAATAAATCCGCCGATCCGGCGTGTGAGTTTCAAGGAGTCTCAGCTACAGCCTCGAGGCTGAGCCTCAGCCTCTGGGGGGGTTGCCGGGGTGGCTCTGCCGGGGAAGGGGGGATGGGGGGGGGGGGTGCGAGTTTCCGGCGGATGCGGGGGGGCTGCTTTTACAGAAGGCTCTAATCTCGAGGATGCGCTACAAGGGTGGCCGCGGCCGCAAAAAGCTCTTAGGACGGTCTACGAAAGTCCTGGGACCCCGAAAGATCGCCCGAACACGCCCAAGATGGCCCCAAGACGGCCCAATAGCCTTCCAAGACGTCTGAAGAGGCCTCCAAGAGGCCTCCCACGAGGGCCCCCAGAGGCAAAAATCGTTGATTTCCATTGTTTTTTTCAATGTTTTTGGGGTTGTCGCTTTTTTCGGCTTTCCGACGCTCCAAGACGGCCCAAGAGGCCCCCAAGACTGCTCGAAGACGGCCCAGGAGGCCCCCAGACAGTCCCAAGACGGCCCAAGAGGGCCCCAAGGCGGCCCAAAAGCTACCCAAGACGGCCCAAGAGGCCCCCAAGACGGCCCCAAGAGGACCCAAAAGAGGGACGAAAAGCGGAACAAATCTAGCCTTCCAGCCCACGAGGCCCCCAGGAGGCCCCAAGAGCCCCCAAGAGGGCCCCCCAAAGCCCCCAAGAAGCCCCCTCGACGCCCTGACAGGCTCCTGTGCGAGTGTCTGTGTGTGGTGCGTGTCTGCGAATGTCTGTGCGTGCTAGTGTCTGGCGTGCGCCTAGTGTGTCTCTGTATGTGTGTCTGCCGTATGTGCATTTGGTCGTGTGCGTGCGTGAGGTGTCCGCGTAATGTGTATCCGAGCGACCCGGATCGGCGGCACTGGCCGAAGGCCACTACAATAGCCAAACAGAAACCCCAAACGGATCAAAAATATCAGAAAAATCGTCCCCAGACTATCTTCAAAACTTTTTGTTGCATATTCCTCCTGTAGCGGGACAGGCCCGACTTAATCCTGGACCGGCGTGAAAAGAGTGATTCGTTCCAGCGATACGAGACAGGTCTCCTCGACTCCGAGCCCGGCCTGCAGACAGAGGGCCAAGCTTTCGGAGAGGGCGTTGTTTTCCAGGCTCGGTCCTGAGCTCCTTGCGCTGGGATCTAGGGGCGAAGATCCCCAGATTGTTTGGAATGAGATCTTGACTGGGGACACCAGATGGGACGCACAGGAACATCCAAATACTATATGTCCTCATTGGAGGCGCGCGTCCGACCCGAACATATAGCATACCCATCTTGTAGTAGATCGTTTCCCGAGCGGTGTGGCCAGAAAGCGCCTGCCACGACGCATATGCTATAAGATTTCTCGGTGAGCGCGTCGCCACTAGGGGTGCGACGCACATATAGTATAAGTATGTTGGAGTGGCGCCGATCAGAGAGAGCTGGCGCCCAGAGGTGCGCGCCTTCAGGTACGCATGTGCTTCAAGGCGATCGCGCAGCTGTCTCCTGGTTTCTTTGGCCACGAGCTCCCTGCTTCGAAGCAACTCCTGGTGAATGACCTCGTCTGCTCCATCTTGGGATCGGAGTGGGTGCTAAGTCAGCCAGAGGGGGGCAGAGAGAACACCACGACCGTGTCAAGGAGATTCTCGAGGAGTGGGATGCTGCTCGCCTTGCTCTTTCTTTTCTAGGCACTGCTCCGCCTCCTGCCATTCATGGGAGTGACTTGGGGCAAGCTGCATTGCCTCCTGTGACTTCTAACGGGGACTGTTACTTCAACGTTGGCCATGTGATGTCGTAGGCCGGAGGGTCCAGCACGCATGACACCGAAGCTGTGAGGTCTGAGTCTGGGTGACCGATATGCAGTGCGCTTGCCCTTTCACGGAAGGGCCCCCGTGGTCGGTCGGCGGGCCTGAACCGTCTGGGTCGGCTTCCAGGGATGGGCTCCTCACCCATGGAGGTGAGGTTCACTGTCCTGCTCAGTTGCGCCCTGGCTCTTCGGGTTCCCGCCCTTCTGTCGAGTCGCCTCAGGCGGGGGAGGCGCGCCGGGCTTCCTGCGTGAATGCATTAGACAAGCTGAATATGACCCCTCTGAAAATTGAAAATTCGAGGTGCACTGTAGTGCTGGAGTGGCTGGCACCTTTGCTCAGGCCCCTGAGCAGGAAGAGCGTGCTCTGCCTCCCTCGTGCTCGCCTCCTCCTGGTGTCCAGACGCGAAGGGAGGGCGAGGCTCTGCTCTGTGCGCGTCCGCCAGCGAGAGGCGCTCTCGGAGTGCGCCTCGAGAGGCATCGGGGTGTCGCGAGGGAGGTTCGGTTAACCGAGAAGCTCCACCAAGGTACTCCTCCTCCTCCTCCTCCTCCTCCTCCTCCTCCTCCTCCTCTCGGGCTGTTTAGTCCAATCTGCGCTGGCGCCGATTGTCTGTCGCAGCGAATCACGGCAGGAACCATGAGTGTCCTTGCCTGCCCACGCGCCCGTCAGGATGCATGGCCTTCTTGCTCTTGCTACACCAAGGTGCGAGGAACGCCAACTCCTCCCCCAAAGACCACCCGGTCTGGAGGCCCACCACGACCCTATCGGCGGAGGGGCAGACTGCTCAGGATTCTCGAGACCTCCTGGGCCTTGAGGCCTCCAGGTTTTCCTACCTCTGGCAGGTCCGCTGGTCTCCTCCGAAGCATCGGGTTAAGGTTTCGGACCCCTTACCCCCAGATTTCGGCTCAGGATCTCCGAAAGCTCTGTAAGAGGTACTCTGGGAGGAGCGCCGTCTCGCCCGATGGGTTTCGCATGCAGTGCTTCGCGCTCCTGCGTGATGAAAGTCTGGGCTTCGGTCGCTCTCGCAGAGAGGTCTGAGATCTTGCCCTCCCAACTCTCTCGGCTGTTATCATTGCGCTTCTGGCCAAAGGGAATCTGGCCATCGCTCGGACGTCCGTTCCCTGTGTTTTTTTCGGTTTCGTGCGTGGTTTTTTCGCCAAATGATCGAGGATGCTCCTCGATGGTCCTCGCCGAAGGAAAAATGCACACGTCCGAGCGATGCCAAGTTGCCCTCCCAACTCTCAGCTGTCATCATTGCGCTTCTGGCCAAAGGGAATGGAGGCTATCGCCCCTTGGGGACTTGTCCTGCGGCGCGTCGCCCCCTGCGGGCGGGCGGGCAAGCCTTGGGAGACTTCCCGGGGGTCGGCTTTTCTCCCAGGGGCCCTTTTTTGCTGCGGGCAGAAGTCGAGGGGCTCTCGATCGCGTGGCGCCAGGCCTTTTGGATCTGAAGCGGCGGTCCGGTGGGGCCTCTGTTCGGCTTCCGCCCTTCTCC